TTCTGACATTTTCTTGGATATTTAGTGACTACAGGGACTGGGGAAATCTGCCTCATTTGCCGTCTAAAATGGTTTGCTAGCACTCTTCAAAGTGCTCCTTGTTTCCTATGTTGAGGAACTCATTTAGTGCCAATTGAGAGAGAACTAAATTGCCAGCAACAGCTTCTGCAGCAGTGAGTCATCCTTATTTGAATCTATTTTTTCAATGGGCTTTGATCCCCATTAGCTTGCATGGTCTGAAGAAATCTCCCCTCTAGGAGGCATGGCTTCTGCATTTTCCAGTGCAGTAATCTAAATGGGAGTGGTTTGGAGCCTGCTTGAAGCTGCGATACTGAAATATTTCATCATTCTTTAATGCTTTCTTTGGTACTGAATCTTCAGGAAAGCATTAAAGACTGCCTTGTAGCCCAGCAAATTTTCTCATGTTAAGTTATTTTATTTTTTCCCTAGCAAGCTTGGAGTAACTGAAGGAGCATATCAATGTTCTTTGCTTGTGGCAAAAGAGAAGGTGCCATCTGGAAGGCTACTTAGTCACCGCTGAATTTGTCTAGTTATTTACATGCTTACCTTCAGATGATCAGACACAAATGTGGAAACAGGCTCTTTTTGAATAGCTCAGTTAAAGCCCTGCTTACTTCTCGTGGGAAGCATTGGCAGATAGTCGATTTAGAGATGATTCTGTTAATATGTCAGATAACTCCATTTTTCTTCTTTGTGTGTTTTTATCATCAGAGACACTTGTGTGCAAACAGGATCTTCTAGTTGCTCAGTTCCATTTGGCAATCCTCTCACACAGGGAAAAGTTTTAAGGCTAAACCCAGGGATGGGGAATAAGCAACTAGAAAACACTAGTTTTGTTTTTTGTTTTTTTTTTTTTTTTTTTTTTTTTGCTTTTTGTTTAAACCTCGTTTATCTCACAATGCTTTGCAACTATTGTGTGTGGTTGTGTAACTGAATTTCATATGGCTCGTGGAGGAAGATGGCATCATTTTGGAACATGAAACCCTGTAAGACACTGGGAAGGTGATAAAGAGGACGTTTTGAGATTAAAAAGGCCAGCCTTTTCATCTTCAGTGTCTTGGATGCCAAGTTTTACTGCACTGTCACCCATCAAAGTAACGAAAAATTAGTTTGCATGTAGATTTTCCTAATACGGAAAAATGACTCAGAGTAGATTTTTTTTCTAAAAATCCATGTTTTGAAAGTTTCCAGATATGCCAACAGGTGTCTGTTTTCATGACACTTTTCCTCTGAAGATAATTGCTTCCCCCTTCTTAAAATATTTGCCATGCATGTTCAGAAGGCTCAGTTTATGTTGCATTTAATACTCTCCGTTCTTTTCAAATTTTGATTTACAGTTACACCCAACAACTGTGCTGAGAGAATAACTGTATTAAGCCTTCCAGATTTGCAGAAGACCATAGCGTTTCCTTGAATTCTTTTCTATAGGCTGTGGTGTAGATGAGATGTTTAGGAGCAACCTTACCAAAGGTTATGTACCAAGGTAATTGTAGAGGACTGTCCAGTTATTTCTTTTTACCCAGTGGACACCCCTCACAAGCACTGGGTGCAGTTTAGATTGTAAACTTTTGGAGGGAAAATCATGCTTTTCTTTCTTTCTGGAGCCTAAGCACCAAATCAAAAAGTAAAGAGTAGTTTTGTCAGCTTTTCTCAGCTTTTCTTTGCCACTTCTAAAACGCAGTAGTTCTGTAATGGGCTTTAGTAATCAAAGAGGAGGATTAACAATCTTACGATGGAGTTAGCAGCATCTTGTTGCATGTAGGAGTGTCTCTCTCTGGAATGCCAGAAATTCACCTTCTGTTCCAGACGCAAAGGTCTCGATCATAAAGAACTGCACGTCAGGGTTTGTCGGACGAAGGGGACAGTTTTCTGCACGGTTTTGAAGAAGCGAAGCCTGTCTTCCTTGTTTTTTGCAGGAAGCTTCCGCATAGTTGAGGAAGGCAACTGTGTTAGTCAAAATGAAGTAATACATATAGGAATGTATGTGAGGTTTGTGAAAAGGGAAGAAGAATTGGCCTGCTTTACACTGCTCCTTTTCTTTGGCCAGAGATCTTTTTTTTGGAGAAAGCGGTGGGTCAAAGGTGTAAATGATCTGAAGTGATGGAAGCCTGTTGAACATATGAGTTGATCTCTTCCTCACTGCTCAAATGATTTTTGCGTCTATTTTTTCTGATGTTTCTATTTTCACATTAGGAAATGAAATATTTTCTTAAAGAAGCATTTTCTATACATTCTGTTAGAAACTGGCATCCTTGTAGATTTCCTTCAGACCATTCATGCATTTTGCCTTAAAAGTTGAGTTTTTGTTCCTGAAAAATCTTATATAACTATGAGAAGCAGCAGTACGTTATTTATGGTCTTATAGTAGGTGAAAGCCAAAGTCTTGGGGTGAGCGCAAGCAGTGCATGCTCACGAATCCGTTTGCGAGAAATGCATTTAAAGGAGATCGTTTGGCTTTGGCGAAGATGTTTACTGATATGCATCGTTCTGTACCTAAGTGGGAGCGAGACAGGGTGTCCAGAGAAGAGCCTGTCAGCATGAAGACGTGGCTGCACTCGACCAAGCCTGCTTTGTATTCCCTCCTCTCGCTCCCTTCCCGTGGACCTGTGAGATGTGCCTGTAGGCTGTTGACAGGGAGGCTCTGAAATGGGTTCATAATTTTGGTGACTAATAGCCAGAGCATGTGGCTCCAGCACCCCCCAGCTGGCGGCAGGCGCTCCCCTGTTTATGAATGTAGTTAGGTGGCCCCCAACTGTTTACAAGACAGCAGAGGTGAGGTCTTTGATTGACAAGTCAGAAATGCATTAGATCATTCCCTCTGCCAGTCTCTGGTTCATGCTGTTAAAAATGTCAGCCTCTCCAAGTTTGAATGGCAGCCTGAGGGCCTCAGAAGCTTTTTGTTTTCTGAGATGGAAACACAAATTGGATGTGTGCCTGAGCGCTTCATCCTGGGCTGTAATTTTATCTTTTAGCTAAGAACCACAAGGTACATGAGCAAAGCACCCTGTAAACAATAATACTGGGGAAAAAAATAAACAAGGTCGTGTTTCTGGTACGTTGATCCACCGGTGTCCTGACCTCTATCACGTTGAACATCTCCACTCTGATTGCTGTTCCCTTTGGCATTACAATGAGAAGAGAGAGACTGACACAGGAGGCAGAGATTTAAAGTTGCAGTGTTGTTGCACATTCCTTGTATTGGCTATGAAATATTGAACTGCCACAATGCAACACCTG